TCAATTTGACTGTATGATCTGGTTGGACTGTAAAGTGCCTTGAGATGACATGTGTTGTGAATTGGTGCTATATAAATAAACTGAATTGAATTGAATTGAATTACAAAATGTGCTCTTTTCTTGGAATAATAATTGAACAAAATTCACTCTATGTGCATTAAACTAAGCTCATTTCATGATAAAACATAGTTAATTTGAGCATACATAAAGTGGATTTGCTGTTATTTTAGAGCTCTCTGATGTACAGAGCCCAGTCTGCATAGCTCTTGTATTCAGAACACTGTATACAATGTACAACTAGTCTATAGAATTGTTATTTGCTCCAAATGAAGACAACATCAAGTATCATAATGTGGGAGAGTTGTCCTTGTTGGTGTAGTTTTTTTTAATCAAATTTACCAAAGAGAGGAACAAGAAATCATGAACATGTTTTTCATCTATTGTAACATTGAGAACCTGTTTCCTGGTTAGACACCTTAGCCAGAGATCAGGAAATGCTGTTCTCGTAATCTCCAAAAAAAACCTGCTATCGCACACTCCCTCTGATAGAAGGTATTTTCTTTTACCAACACTACCTCACTAGATATACAATATATGTGACAAAAATTTTGAAACTTGAGAGAATTGAGAGTTTGCTTATTTCATTTTTAATCAAATTGATCCTGTTAAAATAAAGAAAGCAGTCATTGGAGACCTATTGCATAATAAAACATCCAACATACAATATAAAGCAATTTCTTAATTAAGTAAAAAAAAAAAAAATAGGTTACATAAAGTGAGGTTTTAAAAGACAAATAATTTATTGTAATAGGAAATAAATAAAACAAAAAAATGAGAAAACACAAATATCGTAGTTGAATTTGTGCACAATCTTGGTGGAGTTAAATGAAACACAAATATATGTAAATAAACTTTAATATTTGTACTTGGAGAATTAATAGTCGAAATACAAAAGTACTTTAAATAAGGCTTTGTACCAAATGCCATTATGTTTCATCAATGATGAGAACTGTAAGCGAAATAACTTTACTGCAGAGGTTTCTGTACTGTTTAGATCTTAACATGAATCTCCTGCACCTACAGAATTGTCAAACAGCGCCCTTACAGCAGTCCCTTTGTGTTCATTTTTGCTTCATCTGCACAATATTAACAAATCTATGTGGTTCAATTTGCAGTAGAAAGAAGAAATAAATCAAATACCAAGAAAGCCAAATGTCAAGATAATCTTTCTGTTTCAGTTTTTTTTTTTTTTCCTTTTTATTTATTATTTTGTCACATTTAAACGAGGAAATAGTTGTGGATACACAAAAACCACCAAAAACCAAAAAAGCATAAAGCTTGTTATTAAGACCTGACTTTGTTAGTTAGTGACTCTGTTTCATAAAGCTTTAGATAAAATGTGTTAAGGTCACAGCTACACTCCTCTGGATACTTTTCTAACATATTTTCTTCTGTTTTAAAAAAATCTGAATCTGCATGCTGTCCAGGATGAGTCTGAACATAATTACAGAAAGGCTAGTTTTTTTCAAAACTAATCCAGACAACCATGGCTCTTTGGGCACAATAAAAGATTGTGTTACTTTATTGTCACAAATTAGATAAGTTATGTATATATTACCATTGCTATGAAATGTATCTCAGTGTGTTTTGCCTTACACAACAGTAAACAATAATTATGTTACCTTATAACTGTATTAAGCAGATCATTCATTTGCTCTGGTGAAGGCTTAGTATCCTCTGTGAAATTAATGTTTGAGTGGCTTCAACTGCAGGAGTTTACTTTCCAAGTAAATGAACTAATAATGAATTAACCTTTCTGGTCTGTAAAACTTAAAAACTCAAGCCTGTAAAAAAACAACTGAGAATGGCATCATAGCAAAAATAAATTAATTTGGATCTAAAATATATTTAAGTCCAAGTTAAAGCTATTTAATTAAGAACTTTTTCCACTTTATTGTTACATAAATCCTGTAGAATTTAATAATAATAAAAAATATTTAAGAGGGAATAAATAAAGATGCAAAAAATCTTATTTTGACAAATAAGATTTCATACCTTCATATCGGTCCCTGTTTTATAATAATTGAATCCAATTTCTAAATTTAGTTTTAAAAAATCAACTACACTCAGAACTATAGCACCCCCTGTCCCCACTCATTGTTGATCTTAATAACATAAAGTTCAGCTATCCGTCTAATAATTTCTAAGCATTTCCTCGTTTGCAACATTTAGCTTAAACAAATAGGTGGAGAGGGTTGCAAGGGTGCAAATGGCTGTCAAAAGTTAATAAGAGGTTAATCACCTTAATCACTAAAGAAAGCTATTTTGCTTTATTTAATCATATCCCACAACACCAACACACCTGCACACAGATTATGTTGTTTTTTTCGATGGAATTCCATAGGTTAATATGTTGTTACAGAAGTCCTTTAAATCATTTTGCCTTACTTAACTATACTGTCTGGCAAGAGTCAGAGATTTGAATAGAGATTTGAAAGAAGTCTCTTTACCAGAGTTATTTAAGTTTCTGATGCAATTGTAAATCAGAATCTCTGCCCAGGCAACAATTCATGTTGATGTGAACAATGTCTCTGTATATCAATGTCTAAGGAGTTTAACAAAAAAAGGTTCCCTCTTCATGGATTTTGCATTACTTATCATTTATTTTGAATTATAAAGGAAAAGTGTATTTCCCCTTGGGATATTTAAAATGCTTTTGGTTTTAGAAAAAAATGACTTAGCTGAACACACACAGAGTCTGAAACAAAACAAAAGAGGAAGTCCAATTGATTATTCACACCAGGATTTCAATCTTAAGAGATTAAGCATCTCTAATATCTGTATGGTAAAGATTAGTATTTTGGTTTAAGCTATAATTATTTTTTAACATGGGGGAGAATAACAACTTGGTTTACTTAAACAGAAAGGAAAACATCTCTCGCCACCTTAAAAGGGTTGTAAAAACAAGAGACAGACATAGTGAAAGTGAACTCCACCCAGAGAAAAATAAAATAAGAAAAAATTATGTGTATGGAACTCTTTACTTGGGCTTGAAAACAGATTAAAACAGTCTGAGGAGTAAATTCAGGCTTTTAGATGAGCTGTTTTGAAGTAGAGACACATCTAAAACATGTAAACTGTTGACCCTTAATGACAAAAATATAAGACTGTCTTTACCGCAAACTGCTTGATTATTCAGACATTTCATCAGCAAGAACTGCATTACCTCATGAAACACTCCATCATTTGCAACACTATACACCAGCATTACCTTTGAGGTAAATTCTCTGTTCAGGAGAAATTCAGCAGTGCGTCAGGAGCAGATATTTGCAGTTCCTTTGGGCACCAGGGAAACATAAATAGGCATCTTATAAAAGTTTGAGTCTATTTTCCCCTGCTTCGATATTTAAAGGGTTTTTGTGTATTTGATTGCTAGATCCATTTACATAACATGCAGGTAGGTTGCCTTGCTGTCCACTCCTATTACATTTTTGGCGATGCATCTGTAAAATCCTGTGTCTCTATGTGATGGGTTCTGTATCAATAAAGAACCATTAGGGCTCAGGTAGAGGTTGCCATAAATACGAGGCCGACCCATCACAGTGAGCTGTGTAAGGTCTGGTGTTTCCCAAGAAACTGTTGCCCGTGGGGTGGCTATGGTCAGGCAAGGCAGCTCCACAGCAACACCAGCTGTCGTGTAGGTCACAGGCAAAGGGCCGACTGAAATGCGGGGAGGGTAGGCGATAACAATGACAGGAACTGTGGTGATTGAGACAGAGGCAGGGTCGTGACTGGAAAACCTGCAAATGTAGTTGCCTCTGTCATACACAGACACCTGTTTGATTATCAGTGTTCCATCTTCTTGCACCACGTAACGTCCTTGGTCAACATTGTCACCCCTAGATAACATCTTTCCACCGGGCATCATCCATGTAAAAGAGCCGCTGGTATGAGATGCAGGACAAAGGAGGCGAAGGGTCTCTCCATCAATGGTGCTCACTACAGGGGCTGTTCTGGTGTTTACCATGGGTGTGGAGACCGAACTAGAGGTTCCTGAAGAGTTTATAACGTGAGGAATGTCAGAAAAACCTAAGTGACTCTGTTGATGTTGTACAGACGATACAGTTCTTAAGTTTGAAGTCTGGGTAGAATTTAAATTTTCCTTTCGAGCTTTATTTTCCACTTCTTGACCTGAACTCATTTCCACAAATGATTCAAAAACTTGAAGCTGAATCCGCATCAAAGTGTCACCTCCTTCAGTTTTTGCAATGCAAATTAAAGTCCCGCTATCACTCACTTGTACATTCCGAAGTTCCAAGGAGCCGTTATGGTGCACGGTAAGTCGGTTCCCATAGTAAGGGGCTGGCAGCATGCCATTCCCAGGCCGAAGCCAGGCCAAACGCTGTGGAGGATGACCTTGGTATGGGCATGGTAAAGTGACAGTCTGGCCTTTAACTGCTCGCTGCTTTGTTGTCCTCCCACCACTCAGACCTCTGTCTGAATTGCTTCTTGAAGAAATGCCGTTTCTCCTACTATCAATGCTCACCCCTAAATGTCTATTTCTGTTGAAATCCCGTCCTTTTACTGTGCTTGTACCAGCTCCATTACTTGGCAACATACCCCTAATGCTTTGACCATTTGTTGAAATAACAGGTAACCTGCTGTTGTCTCTGCTGATAATAGTATCAATACTCTTCTTTTCTGCAATGACTTCATTGTTATTCGTCTCAGGATTTCTTTCAGCACTTTCTCCTCTATGTACACTTTCTCTGTGATCCAAATGACCACTTCTACTCTGAATGCTAGCTGTGCTTCTATTTAATTCAGTGCTGTCTATCCTAATACCTATGTTTTCTGCCTCGTTTGTCCTAACTCTTATCCCAACATTACCTTGTGGCGTTGTAAATCCTTGCACAGGACTTTTAAATCCATGTTGACCATAACCTCTCAGAGTAGGATTGGAAGCACTAAATAATGAGTTGGCATAGCTGTTTGGAAATAAGTTTCTTATTCTACTATTATTGCTATAACTGTTGTTTCTGATCTTGTCTTCAATTACATTAGACTGAGATTGGATATTTCTTATAGTAATTACGCTATTATACCCATCAGGTTTCTTGATACCTTGTCCTTTCACCACCTGTCCCATAATTCTATCAGTAGACGGCTCCACATCCAAGTTCACAACAATGCTATTAATCCCAGCTGAGTTGCTTGTTTGACAAGTGTAATTTCCAGAGTCAATACTTTGGGCGGAATGCACTTTTAGAGTTCCATCTGAAGCAACCACAAAACGTTCAGAATAGGGGCCAGAACCCAAACTCTGTGGGATAACAAGGAGTTCTGGAGAAAGCCATGTTACTGTTGGAGCAGGGTCTCCTTTGGTCAGGCAAGGAATTGTTGCCGTTTCTCCCTGCCGTACTTTGATGTAATGGTGTTTTTTGTCAACAATGAAGTTCGGTGTAGTTGTCCTCATGGCCCTTACTATGATCTAAAACAAAATGATTATATGTATTAAATTTATTAATCTATTGATAAATATTCTATAGTTACGATAAAGAAAAAAAACAGAGAAATAAAAGTATAGGCAATACAATCTGTTTTTTCCTGTTGGTAAAATTGTGTTACATACCTTCATGGTATCTTGGCCTGCCTGGTTCTCAGCATAGCACATATACTCTCCTTCTTCTTCTATACCAACTGCTGGAACAAGTAATGTCCCATTGTCAAAAACAGTAATTTGCTGTTTTTGACCCCTATTGTTGTCTGCAATCAGCACACTGTTCAAAATGGTTCCATTTGGTAAGTTCCAACGCACAGCTGGATGAGGCAATCCAGAGGCCTGGCAGTCTACCTGTAGAGGATAGGTTTCATATAAATTAATTTTTTTCACATTTTTTCCTGATACTATAACTCTGCTTACTAAAGAACTTGATATGCTTTATGTGTATGTAGAGAAGAAATGCTCATAAACAAATATCAAAAATCTTCTTATTAATTATCAACATAGTCTGTGATATGAAATGTCAATAGGCTACAAGGCAAAGTAACTATGCAGTTATTCTTAATGATCTAATTTACCTAAGAAATCTAAGTTCTAACTTTAAGTAGAACTGCACGTTGGTTTAGAAAATATAAAATGTTTATTAAGAAGTAACTGAATATTAATTCATTAATGAAATCTACTTACATTTTGGTGGAAAAGTACACAAATCTACACCATTTTAATGTGTGGTGGGACAAGTGAATCAAGACATCTATTTAAAATATAATGTGATGATTCATGAATCATGCACATTAAGACTTTAAATGGAAAATAAAATATCACTGTATCTATATCACTTATATCAAGTTATACTATGGCAGGCAACAACCAGGAAGGATGCACCTTCATTATTTTCATATTCATAAAAAGTAAAAACAGTACGAAACCATGCAAATTATTAAAGTATAACTCTAAAGGAAAAAACAAAGTCAACCAGTCTGTGTACTTAAACACACAGTCCCCTTACACCTCCTTAGAACCCCTGCTTTGCCCTAAACTAGAAAGAAAAATTCATCCTCTCTAATGGGAGAGTGTACAATTATGAATAGTTGCTTTAGTTGATTGAACTTTAGTAACATGCTACATTACACTGTAAGTAACATAACGGCATAACTAAGGGAGAAAAGTAGATAATCATATTACTTGGTTATGAAAAAAATGACTGTTGCCATTTTTTGCTGTCGGGCCTACTCTACTTCTAACAAAGATGAATGTTTCAGCATTTAAGATAAATGGGAGCTAGATTAAATTTGGATCCTTTTACTTATTAAGACTCTGTGTTTCATATCTTATTAAGATCTATGATGGAATTAAAACCATAGTCCTGCAAATTACACAATTGTAGTTTGCTTGTTGTCTTTGTGGAGTAAATATAGGATATAGTAAATGTGAGAGAAGTCTTTGCCAAGAGCTCAGATTTTATTGTTTTGTGATTATAAAGACTGTTTTTGTTAATATTATGTTTACTCATATATCTGTTGTTAATGAACTAAGCTTTGTTGGCTGACCTTTGCTAAAGAGAGAGGCAACAATTGCGAATGGTTCCTAAGTTTTTTAAAGTCAAGGAAAAAGAGTAAAGACCAATAGACAGATCAAAGCTGCACTACAGAAAATAAATAAATGAAAAAATAGGTAGGTAACTAGTGCAAACAACAACAGTTATCAATTATGTATGGATAGCATACAAAGGGCAAACATTGCATAATTTTTCAGATGATCCCCTCCATCTATACCACCTTGGGCAAGACATAGTTTGAAAATGTTGTGCATCTCAAAAGCAACCAATACAGGTGAAATGACAGTTTCCAAGAAGTGGTTAAATTTTTACCTTTAGAGGTTCTCCAATTGACACTGTCTGATTGACCGGCTGTTTTGGCTCAATTGTTGGAGGTTTTGTGGCCACGGAGACACGTAGAATCCTATAATCATCAGCAACTTTGTTGCGTGCAATACACAGGTAGTCTCCACTGTCCTTCTGTGTTACTGCATGGACTGACAGCGTGCCATTAGGATGCACCTTTAGACGTTGGTCAAAACTTAGAGTCAAACAAAAGCAGAAACATCCAGAGAAATAATATGAGGCCACACAATTGAAATAGATACTTCAGCAATTGATTGTTTGAATAGATGTTCTTACACACCAACCAACTGTACCTGTAATGCATGTCCACTAGCTTCCTGGTGGGGATTCTCCATATAATGGTTGGAGAAGGGTATCCGATTACAGAGCAGTTAAGATTCAAACTCCCCCCATAGTTAACAGTAGAGGTGAATGGAGATGTAGAGACAATCCGAGCTTTAGTGAAGGGAGAGACAGGTTGGGTTTGCCAAAAAGCCAAGGGTTTTTTTCCAGCAGTGGAAGAGGAAGTTACTCTTGTGCTGTTTACACTGGGTGATACTTTGGTGTTATTTGTTAGTAAAGTAGAAGGTGAGAAAACTGAAAAATTATTTTTACTTCTGTTGTTTGTAAAATTTTGTTGGTAATCTTTTACTTTTTTATTGATTGTCGGAAATGAGATAGGGAAAGGGCCGACTGTCAAGTTCTTAGTTCTGTCAGAGATATTTAAAAGAGAGAATTTAGTCGAACTGAATGTATCTGAAGGTTGGCTCGGGATTAGTGATGTTCTGGATTTGTTAAAAAGAGATGAATTAGATGTGTTCTGGCTGTTTGCCTCCTCATCTTGAACATCTAGCATCACTGTCCTCTTCGAAGTCCCTATAGCATTAGTGGCAGTGCACTCATAACTCCCAGTGTCTTTTAACCCCAAATTACGAATGTGCAGTGTCCCATTTGGCAAGACAAAAAGGTTTCCATGAAGAAACTGGGATGGGCGAACAAGTTTTCCATCAGGAATTTGCCAAAGAAGAGTTGGTGTTGGGGATCCTCGGGCAGAACAGTGAACAAAAACAGGCCAACCTACAGCAAAACGCAAGTGCTCCTCCCTAGGTTGCTGAATAACCGGGGGCAATGAGGACACATACAGACGAACTGTAGCACTTGTTGCACCAGCTGAGTTGGATGCTACACAGCGATACACTCCTTGGTCAGCTGGTAATGCTACAGAGATGTAAAGGGTTCCATTGGTGTCCATACGGAATCGATTAGGAAAGGTGCTAATGGATGTTAAGGTAGAGCCATTAGGCAAAACCCAGGAGAGCAGAGGGCTGGGAGCACCATCTGCTTGGCACTTCAGGTGAACCTGTCCACCCTGATGAATGGTAACTTCCCTGTAAGTCATCAGTTGCATATGAGGAGGGCGAGTCCAGACTTCTAGTATAGTAAGCAACCTGTGTGAAAGAAGCAAAACATAAACATACAAATTTACCTATAATACACAGAGATTTTTATTTGTGTGCTTAAAAACTTAAAGCGTTTTTATTGATTTGTTTGCAGGCAAAACACAAACATATAGCTTATTTAACCCCTTTGAACCTCAATGTATTTTATTGACATTTTTGTGATAGAGAAACACAAGGTATGTAATAATTGTGAAAAAACACGATAGGGATGAATGTCTCTATTTTAAGTTCAAAGCTGAAAACTGTGACATGCTTTTGTTTTCAGACTTGAAATGGTCATTGTATATTTTGATCATTCAATTTTCCTTTAGAAACAGGAACTGAAAAAAAAGTGCTGTACAGGGGACAACAAAATATATACATACATAAATGTTGGTTATAAAATAAATTTACAACGAAAAATGAGAATAGTTAAGATAATAGTTTAAATATTTAAAATGTTAAATACACTAGAATAATAATGTAATAATAATACGATATAACAATTAACAATATGAATAATTCAATAAGATGATAAGATGATAAAAGTTCAGTGTAAACTGGTGGGTTTTTAACAAAGACTTCAAAATGCAAATCGACTAGACAGTTCTGATATTCAAAGGAAAACTTTCAGAGTCTCTGTACAGCTACAGCAAAATTCTGGTCCCCTCAAGTTTCCAGCTGTGAACTTGGTTCAACCAAGGTCTGTTGACTGACTGATCTTTTGATTGACTGATATTGATCAAACTGAGACATGGATGGACAAAGGCTTAAAAACGAGAGGAGGTAACCCATTTAAACATTTAAAGATCTTTAACAAATCCTCAAACATATTCTGGCAAAGCTGCAGCATTCTAAACTAAATAAAGGCATGGTACGTACTGGCATGTTCTAGTGCAACATGAGGCTGATAAGTCTGTACTTAACTAAGCAAATGCAAATGGAAAAAGCTATGTTTCACAACTAAGCTTTTTGCTAGTCAAATGTAAAAGAGCCGTCCAAAACCACACCAAGGTTTTTGGCAGACTTATGACAGTAGCTACTTAACATGCTCTAAGTAGGACATGAATTCATACAAAAGTTTATTTGAATTCTAGAAGTTAACAGCAAGTTCTAGAAGTCAACAGCAAGTTCTAGAAGTCAACAGCAAGTTCTAGAAGTCAACAGCAAGTTTTAGAAGTCAACAGCAAGTTCATCATTGCTGTTGCTGCCCAACAGCAATGATGAACTGCACGGCAGCATTATATCTCCAGCAATTGTAGTTGGCAAGAGCTGTCAGTCTGGTAAAGTATTTCGTTTTTATTAGAAATTGTAAAGTTTAAAACTGTCTAACACTAGACTAAAGCCTTTTTGAGTTTTAGTCGACTATAACTGGACTAAAACTATACATATAGCAATGACTATTTGACTAAAACTAATAGTTTTCGTTCTAAAGAGAAAAACTAAAACTAAATCTAAAATGGCTGTCAAAAACAATACTGCTTTAAACCAGATCGAATTTTTTCTAAAATATAATTTGCTTTCAAATGAATTTTAATTTCTTCAATCACTTTAAACAAAATAGATTAAATTCAATCAAGAAGATATTTAGAGGATCTTAAGTTATGTACATCAGATAGATCATTAAGAGAAAAGGGTAAAAATATCTCAGGAAAGGTACAACAGTAAACAACTGTTGCACCATGGTTCAGATGTAGACTTAGCCCTTCAGATTTTCAGATGAGCTAAAAAATCTAAACTGGAGGTGCATGTGGAATTGCACATGCCTGTAACCTCCTCCACAGTACTGGAAGACATGTCCACTGTGGGACCAAGGGAAATTTAACCATCAGAGAATTTCTCTGCTGTTATAGATTTAATCAAGTACCGCATACCCGCAAGGGCGCATGATTTTGATGGAGAAGAGGGTAGCTTTAATGTATACAAAACAGGCTGATTGTTGGAAATCTGTCTACGACAAACATCATCAATACAAAAAACATGAGACAAAACAAGGTCAACTGTGTGTCTTGTGTCCTGTGTTTTGGGTTGTCTTCTATCTTGTTGAATTATTTTATGCTATGAACAACAAAATGCTGGACATTTTTTCATTTGTGATGTAATTAATTTTGTACATACTATCAAATTAGAAACTATAAGTAGCCTATGTGTTTTCTATTTGAACTTCAAATCATAACAGAGCATTTCTCTGACACACTGTCAAATTTGGTGCTCTTGTTGCATAAATGACCACATCCGGGAGGTCTTGGAATATGACCATTTCAGTTTTCATTAATTCTTTATGCTCTCTGCTTTGTCTGAAATCTCTACATGATATAGTCTAAGTCAATTTGAACAAAGAGTTCTTATGGCTTACTTTTATTATTAGCTCTTTTTAAATTTTCGACAACATAAAATTATCTTTGAAATATTCCATGGTCACCATTATACTGCTTATTCACTAATGTGACCAACCTCCTCACAGAACAGCTGTACTTATAATAGCAATAAATACATTTAGCTCTATTTACAATTTGGAAAACTTCTCTCAAAGATAATTGATTCCATTGGCGTGTATTTAGGTGTATCGGAGTAAATGGACATTTGTCAGACACCAATGTACAAAACATTTTGTTTTTATTTTGACCTTAAAAATCCTTTTATTTTGATCTTTGAAAAGCTAATTTTTATGAAAAGCTCAAATTTTGCTTTGAGTTTATGCATAACCTTTTGTTAATCTATCTATAAAATCTTAATATGACAAACTGAAGCATGTGGTGGTATAATGACAACTTGTAAAAACAGTTCTGTTTTTTTTTAAAGAATGACTTACAATATGCCTATGTAAACACAAGTGATTATAATGCATGTTGTGGTGATCCAAACTAAATGACGGCATTCAGGAAAGCTCATCAATATTTATTTCTACAACCATCATTCCCACCTGTCACGGCCCAAATAGCTGGTCGCACTGCAGATATATGTTCCCTTGTCCTGCACCTGTACATTCTGGATAACAAGGGTGCCGTTTGGCAAGACTTCAAACCGCTGAGCCCTGGAGTGGATTGACATTACTGCTCCTGAGAGAAAAGCAAAGGAGAGAGGCAGTAAGGCAGAAAGAGAAAACAGTAATGAGAAGACAGGGGTGAGGAGTACAGAGACAAATTTGGAAAAAAAGTTTGAGAGTGGAAAAGGAGAAATATGGGCACAATGAATAGCACAGCTTGAAATGAAGTCAGTGATGCAGTGCAGAAAATGTTCCATTACTTGCTTACAGTGTCTTTCCCACATGGCAAGCAAGAGAAAACCCTATTATGTGCTTGCCAGTGTAAAATGTTTGGTGTAAATTGCTTTTTTTACATCACAGAAAAATATGTTCATATTTACTCTGCCGCGCTTAAATTCTGTGCCGGTTTAAGTTGTCACAACAAATTCTTTCTCAGAAGGACATTCAAAGATTGTTGGCTTTCTATATATAAATGGAATTCAATTAAAAGGGAAAAGGTCCTATGTTTGGAGTATAGTCATTCCATGTCTTCTCTTAAGTGCATACCTTTAGGTACTTTAGTCCATGTGATTGAAGGTTTAGGTACTCCTTGAACTTCGCAAGTCAACCTGGCCATGCTCCCTGCTGGTACCGACACTCTTCTGATGTGAGGGTCTGCAATCCTTGGTTTAGAATTTACAACGGGAGCCTATGAAGTAGATAATGAAAACAACTATATTTGTCTAAAAGATAGCTTGGTAACAAATAAATGCTGAAAACATTCACCTGAGATGTGTGGTTCTTATATGCTAATAAACAATAAGCAAATTTAGATCAGTTTAACAGCAGATAACAAGGAAAAGGTAAATGCTTTCATCCAAGACAACTTCAACTTTCAGTTGATACATTTTCTGCATTACTGTTAGCTTGACTGTGAGAATATAGGGCAAATATCCCCATTACACTCTTGCCAAACCTAATCAGGGCTGATTTGACATATGAAAAAGGGTTATACACTCGCCAGCCACTTTATTGGGTAAACCTGCCCCACTGCTTGTTAAAGCAAATTTTTAATCAACCAATCACATAGCAGCAACTCAATGCATATAGTCATTTAGCCATGGTCAAGGCATTCTGCTGCAGTTCAAACTTAGCAACAGAATTGGCAAAGAAAGGAGATTTAGGCTACTCTGATCATGACAAAGTTGTTGGTGTCAGACAGGCTGGTCTGAGTATTTCAGAAACTGCTGATCTACTGGGATTACAGTCTCTAGGGTTTACAGAGAATGGTCAGAAAAAGAGAAAATATCCAGCAAACAACAGTTTTGTGAGTGCAAATGCCTTTTTGATGCCAAAAGGGTCAGATGTCAGACTGGTTCAAGCTGATAGAAAGATAACAGTAACTCAGATAACCACTTATTACAAGCAAGATATGCAGAGTAGCATCTCTTAAAGCACAACACATTGTACCTTGAGATTTAAAGACTGAAAAAGCGCTGCTTTGTCTAATGAGCCTCAATTTCTGCTACAACATTTAGATTATAGGGTCCAAATTTGGTGTCAACAACATGAAAACATGGATCCATCCTGCCTTATATCAACGATTTTAGTTGTTGTTTGTAGTGTAGCAGGGTGGGGGATATTTTCTACTAGTAAAGTGTACCTATTAAAGGGGCCAGTTATTGTAAGCAACCCTAGATGCAAACAAAGTCAAACGGGTCACTTTTCTAATCGAATCGTTTAGTTTAACATTTATGTGAATTCAGCAAATCCTAAGATACATATATGTGGATAAACACAACAGAGGATATGGGGCTTTAAAAAAAATCCAGATGCTAATTTTTTCAACAACCTTTCTGAACAAAATTTTGAAATAATCCCTATTATGAGCACACCACTGCTGAATAAACAACAGATCAAACCTTGATTCAAAGGGGCTTCAGAAGACCACAACACAGAGCACCCCTGTCAGCTAAGAGCAGGAATCTAAGGCTACAGTTTTCACAAACTCTCTGGACCATGACAGAACAGAAAGAATGCTGCTAGTCCTGGTCCTAGTCAGATGGGTTTTATTTACAATTTCAAGTTTCAACATTATAATTGTAAAGTCAGAATTTGGTATAAATGACATGAAAGACAGTATCCATGCAGGCTCGTGTCATATGTTTAGGCTGGTGATGGTGCAATAGTGTAAGGGATGTTATGTTGCCAGTGTGGAAAAACAAAGCTAATATGCAGGTTGTAGAAACCTGAAAAAGACAAAAAGCAAATAAATGAAAATGGGGTTTCAAACTATAATAATGCACGAAAAAAAAAAAACATTACCAATCATATTCAGAATCAATATCTGGGCAGAATTGTATAGTCAGTATGTTCTATTAAATTTCTTTTTCATCTTTAAAACTGTTGTTTTTTTTGTTTTTGTTTTTTTGATCAACAGCAGACTGACGGATAATAATTAAGGATTAATTATGTTAAAGCTACAGTGTATAATTTTCAGCGACATCTAGCGTCCAGACTGCAGCAACATGAACATCTCCCCCCCACCGCTTCTCCCCCCCCAACAGTACGGTGAGCGATACGGGACAAAATGTCTTCCACGACGTCCGCATCACCTACCTTCTCAAGTGATGAGGTTTGTTTACATAGATAATTTTAATACTGCCATCTATTGTTCAGTACCGTCTCAGTTCATCTCTCTCAACTTGCCGTAGTTACTTTCGAGCGTAATGGGCGATCTCGCAATCGCTAGTTTGTTGGCTCTGCGCTGCCGTAGCGCAAAGATGTCTGCCTCCATGGCTGCGAGACCCGCTCCTATGTAATTATAAATAACGAATTCTAAGGCAACGCAAATATTAAGGTTAAGAGGCTGAGCTCGTAGATGATGATAAATAGCATAGTTATGTATAATATATTACATTTCTGACTGTATATCCCTGTAATTATTACACACTGTAGCTTTAAATGATGTAAGACTGAACTCTAAAAAACATCTTGTTTTTTCATTACATTCATTACATTCATTTTTTATCATGTATTTTTCCTCTTTGGATTTCAGCATGACATCTAAAACTCAGAAGAAAGTAAGTGAATAGTCATCAACATCATTTGGTTTTCAACAGCTGGTTATGTGGGGACAAATTTAACTAATTTTTAAATTTGTTGTGCATTCCAGCAAAGCTTTTGCCCCCAGAGGTTTTCATAGTAGGAAATATTGTGTTTTGTAATATTTTCCGGGTCAATGTTGTTCCCAAAGAACACTGTTTATTTCAAAATGCATTTAAAGAATTATTAATCAAATGAAAAACTGAATAATGCAGCAATAGAAAAAAAGGAAATGTTACATGTGGAATAATTTACTTAACCAATAAAAATTCTGGTAAAGGGTTGGATTTAAGTCTTGTCCTGTTAAATAATGTACAGGTTATTGCCTTAGTACTCTGTTGGATACAGTCCTAAAAAAGAGAAAGGGAATATTACAGTATCTTGGAAAAGTATCAATGAAATAATGCAAAAACAACTTTCAATTTGTATCATGTCACAACCACAAACTGCAATATATTTTAAAGGGAGTTTATGAGTTATAACAAGTAAAAGTAACAATCAATTGTCATGAAAAGAGAGACATAAAAGGTAAAAGGATATTTAAAGATATTTTTGATTAATTAAATCTTTAAAAAATCTCTTGGGCTATACTTTCGATAACATTCTGCTGGAACTACAGTGGAACGTGACTGATCTCTAATTGGTTTACTCATCTAGCTTCAGAAGTTCTTGCACTTTTTTGCAGTACAATGCAGAGCTCTGCAGCTCTTACAGAGTTATTATAGCCCCCCTTGGTTGCTTCTCTGGGAATCATTTCACTGTTTGACTTATAGGTGAATGGCCAAGCTTAGATAGAACTGCAGAAGTGCCACACTTTTTCCATTTTTGGATGATATATACAGACTATACAGTTCTTTGTGAAATGTTTGATCAAATTTGTTGGTAATTTAGTTTTTTTCACAATATCTCTGAATTGTTGCTTTACTTTTTTTACATCAAGACGCTGCTTGTTCATAAACATTTCTATCAAACATTATCCCCAAATGGATTTCTTTAATTAGTTGACCTCTTCAGATAAATGGCTGAACCAGATATTAATTAGAGGTATTAAAGTAAAAAAAAAAACAGGATGGACACAGTTGTACAACAAACTACACCTTTTTAGAATGTATTTGTATATCTATTTTTAACTCAGTGTAGCATCATGTCCCCAGATCATAATTATGTTGATCTATAGAATAAGATCCCAATCAAATGAATGTTAGTTTGTAGTTACAAAATGACAAGGCAGTTTGTAACATATAAAACAGACTTACCCTTGGAGAAGCAGGGAGAGACGAGGGAGGCTGATGAAACCGGTTTCTCTGTAAATCTGGAATAGTATTAACTCCATGGTTTTTCCAATCAGTAGTCATTTGTCTCTGCTTTTCATTATTCACACGGTGGTCAAATGGGCCAGTTGCTTCTTTGCTTCTTGGTAATGCTTTGGCATCTCTTGTTTCCATTGTTGTAGTAGTAGACAAAAGTGTACTTCTTGTAGTTACTTTTGTTAAATGAGTGCTGGTTAAAGCACTTTCTGTAGGAGTTAAAATTGTAGTTTTCATACCAGAAGCTGTGGTAGAAAAGGAGTGGCTGAGAGTGTTAAGGATGGCATTAATTGAGACGGGAGCATTACTTTTGCTATTGGGAGGATTAGAATAGCTTTTTAGCCTTTGTGTTACTGGCCTGTAGGGAGTAGTGGAGGTCAAAGTAGAAGAGGTCTTCGATGAAAAAGTTGGGGAAGTGCTTGTGGAAGCAGCTGAAGTCTGTCTGGATACTGGAGTGATAATAGGAGTTGAAGGAGACATGGTAGGACTTGTTATAACAGCCTGCGTTGTAGTGGGGGGTGCATCTTCATTAGTCATAGAGGCTGGTGGGCTTTTAGTGCTGCCAAAATAACTAGCTTTTTTTGGAGCAGCTGAAGAAGTAGTTATGATTTTTGCTGTATTGGCGGTTGTTGAAGAAGCAGTGGGGACTAAAGAAGAAGTTAAAGAATGAGTGACTGAAAAGTAGGATTCACCCAACACATTTGTCTCTAACTCCTTGTTGAGTTTGCTCGGGGTTATCTCAGCATGTTTTCCTAAAGTTGTTTGTGTTGTTGTGTAAGCCTGTACAGCATGTGTAAATGTCCTATTATCAGTTCCTGGCACATATGCCTCTGAAACGATAATTGTAGAATGTGTGGGTGCTAGTGTGCTGTTAAAAGCAGACTCCTCTGTTATTTGTTCTTTGCCTGAATGAATCATTAGGCCTGTGTCTGTGTATGTGTGTTGGGTTGCTGGGGAGTGTTTAAGTGGAAGTGATACAAAATCTGAAGTAGTATTAATTTGAGAATCTGAAATCGTGGAAGATAGAGGAGTCTGAGTCACAACATTTGGAGCGGTCCTAAAATAGTCCCTTAGTGTCACCATAATAGGTGGAAATGTTGGTGTTGACACAGGCAATGCCACAGTGATTGTATCTGGAGTTGATTTAAGTGTCACTGCTTGGGTGGTTACGTTAAGTGGGTCAGAGTAGGGTTGCAGCGTGTTTACAGGCTGGATCCTGGGCCTGTTATTTCGCCTTCGTTGTCCAATCTTTCTTCGTGTGTTCCAAGGACTACGGGGCCGAGAGTTTGGGATCATATT